GCTACCAAGGTACCAATGGTGGCCTTTCGGGGCTCCCACGGGATTGTGGGTAACGCGGCTCCGGCGGGAGAGCTTCGCCTGACGGGGAGCAGGGAAGCGCCGCCCCTTTTTGGACAAAGTGTCCTGCCCTTCCACCCCCCCCCCCCCCCCCCCGGGCATCGTCACCTGGCGAGCCGAAGGATGCATTTGTCCACGATAATTGCAAGAACTCGCCAGGACCAATTTCCCGCCCACACCCACCCAATTATTCTGCCCATTTAACATCTTACCTCAGATCCAAAAAGGATCCTATTCCCAACTCCGAGGCCTTCATTTGCCATTGCTGCTGTGGTCGGAGAGAAGTGAAGTGTTCTTTCTCCTCCTTGCTGAAGAGTCGAGCTTTATGAAGCAGAAGAACACACCTCCTTTTACCTCCCGCACTGCACTGATGTTGCCCCCCCCCCTCTTCTGAACCACTGTGCGTTAGCTGTGCTGCAGACCTTTGGTCCCACAGTGCCCCCTATTGGCAAAGACAAATCCAGCACTTGGCAGTCAGATGTGAGATGAGCCTTTTATAGCCAAATAAGTCTGGTTCATTTGCTACATGCTTGCGACACAAAGTTCATTCTTGCTCATTTTTCTGAATTGTGTTATTTACCCATAAAACCGGCAGATTTGTCCTTCATGAACACGCTCACCTGTTGGCGAGGTCACCACACGGGTACTTGAAAGGAGAAAAAAAACAGAGATAGGGAGTCGTGCCGGAGCAAAGCCAGAATAAAACTATTGAATCTTTCATGGTTTCCTGCTCTCCTGTAACCTCGTTGCGCTGGTGGTCCCGGGGTCTAGACATTGAGCAAAGGCAATAGGCATCCATCATGTCCCATTATGCCGTTTAGATGTAATTGCAAACCCTTAAGGATTGCTCCAGCATCCTCGTCCTTGCCCCCGTAAACTCACACATGCGCACGCACGCACACACCTGCTGGGGAAGGAAAGGGTGAAATATCGCTGTAGGGAGAGAGGGTGGGAGGGCGGAGAGGGAGAGCAGGCAGGCACCTCCATACACATTTCACAGACAATCAAATCAGGGCTGGCGTTCGATACATCACTGACAAATTGTTTATTAAACAGAGGGCTTGAATTGCAGCATAACCGAGAAAGATTTGAGTGAAGAGCGAGAAGCTTTATAAGTGTGCGTGCGCGTGTGTGTTTGTGTTTGTGTGTGTGTGTCTGTGTGCGTGCCCGTGTGCGTGCCCGATTGCCACGTGGCCAGGTTCCCCCGTTCGCACAAACGCGCCATTTATGTCCTCACCCACGACTGGGGAGGGTCCGAGCTCTACCATTTTTTAGACAAAACGGGTAAACACTGGGATGAGACAATGCGAACGAGGTCACGAGCGGAGCGGGGGCACCAGCGGGTGTCTGGTTTGGCCCCCGTCGGGCCCACCCACGTTCACGGGGCACGGCAGAGCACTCCTGTTAATGTGCTCGGATCATTCGTTTTCTGTCATCTTGTGTATTTAACAGGGAGGAACCTGGGAGGTCACATGGGCACGCTTCTAGCATCTTCTTGTATAGCAGGTATCTGGAAGTTTTAAGGAGTAAATGCCACCCTGGGAGAGGCGGTGGTGTACTTAGATGCACGTGGTCCATCTGCAATGTTTATTCTTCACAAAAGGCGTCACGGTGGAACAAATCTCAGGCTATAAGATGCAAAAGAAATATGCTTGTGAATCTGAGGTGACTATATTGTACATTAAAGGGGACATATATTGAAAAGTTTTTTTAAAAAGTTTCTGCACTTTCATTTGTGCATCTGGATTGCCTACTCCCCGGAGAAATATAACAATTTCTTTGTTGCCTGGGTGAGAAAACATTGGATCCAACAAGACATTCCGCTTTGAGAGGTCTGACAACATGAGAAGAAAGAACGTGTTAATTCAAGATTGAAGCATGTGAAGAATTAGCAATTATTAACCCGAAAATGAGCACGATATGTCCCTTGTCACTTTTCAGCCTCACCTTTAAAGAAATTAGTATTTTTCACTGGGGGAAACTTGGGAAGTAGGAAATTGTCTCAAAGCTTGAGACCCCGGCTTTGAGGTAATTACTTTGCTCGTGAGGGAAGCATAGATTTGATGAAAAATGTTCCACAAAAGGTCAAACTCGCCTCTCTCTCAAGCTTAAAACCACATTCTGAGGCCCTGCCTCGTATATGGAGTTGCTCGATTGTGATGAGATGGCTTCACGGGGGTCGCTGCATATGGATTATACAAGACTAGATTACATCCAATATAGAAACCAAAAGCCACATGGTCCCATTAATCTGTTATTATGTCAACCCCAAATTTAGTGTACATTTAGCATTTGCAGAGCATCGGCACTTTCAAAAGTCAGCACGGCGCACACGGCTAAATATCATCAGATTAGCTCTTCTATAGCGAGCAGATCAGAACAAAATATCAAAAGTTCTTCCCCAGAGGGAAACTTCTGAGCGCACAATGTACGAAGGGGATGGGAGGCTAAAGGTCGCTTCTCGATTCTGCCGCCACCCATGCCTGGATGGGAGGGGGGGGGGGGGGGGCACGACACCTGTCAATCAAGCCGGGGTGAAAACCTTTACCCCGGGACAAAGGCCGTTCGGCTGGGGCCATTGAGCGAGACAACGATCCCTTTATGAGAAATGCCACGGGTGGTGGTAATAAAAAGAAAGAAAAGAAAATGTAAAAAGCTGAAATCGGCCATGTTGAGAGAGAGAGAGGGGGGGGGGGGGGCAAAAAAAACCCTCCTCTGGGAGGGCTTTTTGGTTACTGGCGCCTCCCTGGGTCACCGGGGGTTTTTTTTTGGGCGAAATGAGACATCCGCTGCTATTGCACGGCCGGGGGAACCATATCTCACTTGCGGCGACTGTGTGTGTGTGTGTGTGTGTGTGTGTGTGTGGTAGCTGCCGTGGTGTGATGCATGTCTTTAATAACGGCCCATTAGCCTCCCTTTGTGTACACGAGTGCGTTGTACTCGTAAATCAGAGTTATTCCATGTTGATCCCAGCGGGACGGCCGAGCACCAGCAGGGCCGCTGCCCCTGTTATCCCTCACCCCGAGGTTCACTGCCCCCCCCCCCCCCCCCCCACACCCGCTCCACACCCCGCCTCTTACGAGGGGTCTTTTTCTACTCTCCGGCTTATGTTTACACTTTCTCCTCCCTTCCCCCTCACGCTTCCTTCTCACTTCTCACACTCGCTGCCCCTCTCACATATTTCATCTCTGACTTCACCCCCCCCCCCCCCCCCTCCCCTCCCCCCTCTTGTTGAAAGACGCACGTGTTTCCTCCCTTTCTTGAAAGAAATTGCCCCCCCCCCACAAACCCCCACACCCTCTCCACCTCGGCACATGTTGGGCCGGCGGTGTATCCCTTCGCCGCCACCGGGACGCTGCTCACCCACCGACGCCACGACAACAGCCAGCGCATCTCCCGCTACGTGTCTTTAATGAGCCTCCATCACGCCGTCCGTATGGCGCCGTTTTCATGACTTTGTGCTGTCAGCGAAAACGTGAATAGGGATGTGTGTGTGTGTTGGGGGAGTGGTACATTTTGTGAGTTGCCGTCATTGAGCATCTGCGTCGCCGGTGTACGATCCCGGATGACGATTTTCCATCTGGCGCGCGTGTGTGTGTTGTTGTTTGTTGTCGATTTACCTGCATCATCCTGTCCTTGTCTCGAAATGCATGAGGATTATTGGAAACAGAGGCTGATGGGCGCGGCGACGGCAATGTGTGTGTGGGGGTGAAAGCTGCCAGGCCCCTTTTAGAACCCCCCCCCCCCTCCCCACGGGGGCCACATTAGGACCCTCCGGGGGCCAAATTAAAGGCAACTAACCAAGTTAGAGCTGAGCAGCAGAGGGGGCCTGACCGGTAGGGATGGGCTGATTTCACTCCAGCCCCCTGAACCACAGCACGCACACACACACACACACACACACACACACACACACAACTCCCCTCTTTGTTTTGCCGCTGATCAGTAAAAGATAAAAGGCAGTTCCTGACAATGGCAGCCTCTCTGTTGGGGGATCCAGACAGTGAAGAAGAGATATAATGTATTCCTGTAGGCCCGAGAGGAAGTAGTGATTTAAATTAGCCTTCCGAACAGGAGTGTCTTCAAATTAAATCTAATCTAGGGTTTTAATCAATAATCCTGGAGCGAGAGGAACAAATGCATATATGGCTGCTTGTATACAACAAACATTAAGAGGAATTACTTTCATGCAAAAGGAGAGTAGGAAAAAGATAAACAGACCCCTAACTAAACATGTCTCGACAGTGTTTCACAACAAGTATTCCTATGCGTGATTGACGTGCCTCCCCCCCCCCGCCTGCTGCTACATGTCACACACAGGCGTGCATCAGGTGCTGGTGACATTTGCGAAGTCTTGCAAAGAATGATTGTAAATCTCAGTTTTATGAGCCGACTGCTGAACTCTGCAGACTGTTGACCGCTGCGGCCTTGACATTCAAGCACGGCACAACCCCCCCTCCACCCCTCCACCCCACCGGGCCTCCAACTCCCTGGAAGCGGTGATTGATTTGTCTCATGGGGCCAGTGAAAGCTGCTCACTGTTAGGGGTCGAGCTTGGTTCTGTTTATAAAAGTCTTTGTTCATTACCATCATGACAAGTGGAGATTTGGCAGCCGGCGTTCGCCTTTAAAGCATTTAAGGAATGTTCAACGGTTTATTTTTTCATTTTTTTCACATACTTTTGAAGAGTAGAAATGTACAAAAGATAATTTAATTTGAATTGTTTCTTTGCGAAAGACTCCTAGACACAAAGGCAGGGTTGAAATGGACCGAACAGGCTGTAAAATCAGCCTTTACCGCTCGCAGGCGAGCAGCTCGTTGGCAATCTGCGATTCGAATTGGTGACGAGGAGGATTGGAGAAGGAAAAAGCCACAAAGATCGAATCCCCCCCCCGACCTGGAGTCCAATCAGCTCGTTAGTGGCAGGCGGAGCCCGAGGCCTTTTCACCACACTTTAAACTACGGTCAGAAACTACAAGGCAGTGGTGCTGTCTGCAAACACAACCAAAAAACAAGCGCAGGTTGGTTTTTTTTAGTGCGATAAGCCGCAATGGGGTTCAAAGTGGCCGTTTTGTTTGGGTTCTTGCTCCTCCTCTTGGGGGGTGATCCCCGTGCTGCTGCGCAAAGCTGGCCCGACTTGAGCGCCGACGACACTCCGGACCGAGTCCTCGAGGACCGAGAGGAGGCCAACTCTCCGCTGCCAAGAGCGGGTCGAGGGTCCAATTGGACGGAGCCCGGCGCTCCAGTCCGTGCCCTCCTCACCTACCGGCTCCGGGTCCACCAGCTCGGGAACCCGGCCGTCACCAAGCAGCCACCGCCCTTCGAGGCGCGGATAGACTCCACTCAAAACCCGCAGGCGCCGCAGCCCAGGGCGCCGAACCCGGGACAGCCGCAGGTCAGGCCTCAGGAGTCGTTGAAACTTATTCCGGGCCCCAATCTGAACCCACTCGTCAAGCCGGTAGGAATCTTTTCTTTTTTTTCATTCTTCTGTACAGTTTTTAAATAATCAAAGTTGTTTTCCAGGTCCAGACACAGACGTTTGAGCAGCGGGTTCCTGTGCCGCCCACCAGTGTGGCGGCGCGCTGTGGCCAAAGGGAGGTCAACGTAGAGGTCAAACAGAACTTCTTAGGTAATGGCTGTTGAGGTTGAGGGGGGGGGGGTCCCCATTTGACAGGCCTTCTTGCCTTCGGCGTCTGATGAAAGTGGGTTTTTGCTTTCAAGGCCCGGATTGGGGAAGCGTAATCTAGGTGATGTTGGGACACGGTGATCGACTATTTTGTTTCCATTCATTTCCTCACTCCTGGGAAAGAGGCATCCTCGCTGCAGAGGACCATGACTCGTCATGGTCAAAGGCCGACTCTCTGCAACTCACTGAGAGCCCTTTTTTGTTAATTTTGTGCTCTGGCTGAACCTCTCCTCTCGAGTGTTATTGACTGGACCAGGAGAAGAAATGGGCCTTGGGTAATGGCCCCCGGAATTAAGCTTCCCCTTCTCCTCGGTGTTCCTAGGAAATGGCGAGTTGATCCGTCCCAGTGATCTGACCCTAGGAGGCTGCGCCGCGTTGGACATTGATCACCACATCCTGCGGTTCCAGTCGGATTTGCACGGCTGCAGCAGCGCAATAAGGGTGTGACTCATTCACTGGCATCAACGTTGTGTTTATCAAGTTGTTGTAACTTTTTTTTCCATTTTAGATGACTGAAGAAGACCTCATCTACTCCTTTTCTCTACTGTATTATCCCGCTCCCATTGACAACACCTTCATTTTTAAGACCAATCCCACTGAGGTGGTAATTGAATGCCACTATCAAAGGTAATTGCCCTACGCCTTTGGAACGCAGTACTTTTGCCAGGTTGCTGCTTTAATGAATTTGTGTGCCCATATTGTATTTACCGCCCTTTGCCACTTTCTTGTGGGTGAGACAATCAGCTGCCACAGTCCAGTGACCTTTCCTTCCCTCTTAAATATCCACTCAGGAGGCTTTACGTGAGCAGCGGCGCCATGATGCCGACCTGGAAGCCGTTCGTCACCAGCACGCTGGCAGAGCAGAAGCTGCATTTCTCTGTGCGCCTCATGACCGGTGGGCACACCAGTTATTGTCTATAACGCACCAGTCTATGACGCTGGCCGTGGGGGACACTTCCATTGCCATCTTTTGTCTTTCTAACTTTGTGTCCGGCCCGCGAAATAAATCTCACAACTGACCCGCTGGTCACTAGGATGGAAACTGCTGATAGTAAAAGTCGCAGAAGGCACAGCTACTAGCGAAAGCTCTATCGACTTCTCTGGTCAAGAGAGTCAGGGCTTCCTAGTGTGCGGCATCGCAAGGGGAACATGAAGGGGGTATTGTATCGGGCAGTTCAACTTTGGGCACCTTCAACTACCTTACGCTCACCTACATGCAACACTTGATACGAAAGGGTGTCAACATCAGCGCGATCTTCTAATTTCTTCAATGTAGTTCTTACTAATTCTACCCTGATTCCAGTTTCTCGTGTAGTCTCTCTGCATTGCCCCCCCCCCCCCCGTTTGACTTCTGCTCTTTGCCCTGTGGGTTTTAGAGGACTGGCAGTCGCAGAGGTCTTCCAGCGCCTATCTCCTGAGTGACGTGATAAACATAGAGGCGGCGGTTGACCTCGGCCACCACGTCCCGCTGAGGGTCTTCGTGGACAGCTGCGTGGCAACCGTGAGCCCGGACCCCAACTCTCAGCCCAGATACCCTTTCATCAACAACCACGGGTGAGAAGCGGGGGGGCCGAGGCTGGAGGTTACGTTGTCATGGCCAGGCATTGGGTTCAGAATCGCTCTCTGGATATGAATCTTGAATCTTTTTGCCTTAAAGGTGTTTAAGTGATACCGAGGTGACTGGAGCAAAGTCCTACTTCATGCCGAGAAGGCGGGAGGATAAACTTCACTTCCAGCTGAGAGCCTTCAGGTTCCACAACAACCAGAGGAATTCGGTAAGATGTGTTCACGAGAACTGGCGCCACCGCTCTGGAATCGTTCCTTTTTTTGTATTAATACGATCTGATCGCTGCATGTCTTTAAGTGTTTCATTAACGTGTTTCTCAGTTATGAGCCAAGTTGGAACATAACATAAACCTTTTTTTTTTTAGTTTGGGTTCTCATTTAAATGCTGTTTGTGCGTCGTTAAAATACTTTCCAACTGAGGACATGAAGGTCTTCTATGTGTAGTGGGATTAGAAGTTGGCGGAGCTGTGAATATGAGCCAGTCAATTGGAAAACTATTTTATGAATCTGTACAAATTATTTTATTTTAAATCAAATTTTGTGTGTGTGTGACTGCTTTAAAATCAGTTAGTGGCAATGGAGATATAACAAAAGTCAAACCTCCTATACCTCGTGTCTAACAATGCCGATGTCTTAATGCTTCCGTAGCTCTACATCACCTGTAACCTGAAAGCAACGCAAGTCTCTAAACCCATTGACTCGCAGCACAAAGCGTGTTCCTACTTGACCGAGGCTAGAAGGTTTGCTAAAGTTCAAATTCACTGGTCGTTCCCAGCATCACGAGTGATGCCGGGATTGGATTTCGTCGGCCCTTGTGTAACTCACTGCCTTCCATCTCCGGACAGATGGGTGGCATCCGGTGGCGACAACAAGGTGTGTAGCTGCTGCGAGACCAGCTGTGGCGCGCAGAGACAGAAGAGAAGCCTCGCGGCGGCTGTCGGTACGGTTTACACGGTTGCCGCTACACGACACCCCGGGGATGAACGTCCCCTGCTGACACAGGGGAGGCGTTTAGACACTAGTCATGTTTAACATTATCCCGCTCAAATTATCAAAAAGGCGGCAGTATGTTTGTTCTGGATGTGTTTTTGGAAGGTGCGTGCCGCGCCCAAAAAGAGATGATCCTCTATGACTGACAGAAACGAGGAGTGACTTTAACTTTGTTGCACATTTTCCAGAACCACATTGGGAGGGGACGGCGGCTCTAGGCCCCATCCAGATGGAGGAGGGCATCCTGCCGGAAGAGCTGACCGAGCACTCAGCTCTCCAAACGCACAAAGTGACTCCAGCAGGTGGCGCTCTTTCTTTTTTGCACATTCAACAGCTAGACTGTCCCACTCTGCTTCATTTTGTCTCTCTCCTTCCCTAGCCTCGCATCCTTCCGCCGCCCTGCTGTGTGCAATGAGCGTGTCCCTTGCCGTCCTGCTGCTGTTGGTGTTCATGGGGGCCGTCGGTCACGACGGACACCACAAACTCACTGGCCACTTTGTTTGCACCTGATTAGACAATAAAACTATCTGAACGTCTCATCTTGCGTCTTTCCATAGATTTGTTTTTAAGCTTCTGGTATTTCTTTGTGGGAGCTTTTATTTGGTTGCATCTGACCAGCATGTTCGTTATATTGCAGGTTCAGTATAAATGCTTACCTGGGTTTAAGTGAAATCGGCCCTTACGCTTATTTCCGGTAGGGATGCTTTCAGGTTTGATTTAGTCCAGCCATTGCTCAATTTTAAGGGCGCAAATGTAATGCTCTCCATACCAGATCTAATACTCATCTCTTGAGCTGCATGAGATTGTGGGCCACTTTTCCCTTAAATTCCCCTTTCTGGCTTCCAGCCGGTGGCGAAGTATTCATGAAATGGGGCTCATGGTGAACTGTTGCTCGCGAGCCCAGGAAGACAAATAGACATAATTAAAAAGCCCATAAAGGCGAGTGCAGGGGCTTTTATTACAGTAATGTGCAAAGGCCTTAGTTTAATGGGGTGTTTGTTCCCGTGCGCGGGGGGCTGACGGCTTCGCTAACTCTGCTTCCCCCCCCCCGCTCTCCATCCATCCCCACACCAGAGGCTAATAAGAAGCTGTACCAACGATGCTCCAGCAAAAAAAACAAGGCGCTCTCACTCGTCGATGCGGTGATAGACTCACACTCAGAGTGGAGCATGTGGGGAACTTATTGGCCTCCGTGGTTCTGTCTGCATGTATCACGAGTAAGCGGGGGGGGGGTCTCTTCGCCCTCACTGATGCGAAACGCTGTCGATTTCTCATTATGGCAAAGGGATTTGAAAACAACGCTTGGTTAAGATGCAGTAAATCTTTAAACCACGTCACCAGATGCAAGAAGGGATTGACGTGTGTCACAACATATTCCCAATTTTTGGGAGTGCGGTTTAAATGTCATGACCAAGAGGATCATCATTACCGTCACGCCGAGGATGTGCGCCTGCCCGCCCACAGATGTTTGACGGACCTAAAAGCTGACCAGCAGAATGGCAGTCTCCTTAATCAGCCATTTTTCCACTGACAGGATGCGTGACCCCCCCCAGGGCACGAGCCAATGCAAACACACGCACATACGTCCAAAGTAATAGCGTGTGTTCAGTGGCAAGCAGGGTGAGTCCTAACGATATTATTGCTGTAGATGGAGCGTGCTGGGGAATATTGTTCCAAACCATTAGTATGCTGCAGACGTCCACGCTGTGGCGACGGGGGGGTTGACGCCGTTGGTCCACAAGTTTCACCAAGAATGTCTCTTCTCTTGTCAACAAAGAGAGATGCATGGTTCTGCGTTATTACTCGCGGCCTCACAAATCTCCGTAGAGATGCAATCTGACTCTTGAATTTGAATAACTTCACCAAGGCGGTTTAATTTAAGCCACAAGCGCTCATGTTTATTCTCATGCAGGCTGCAATGTGACACGAGGGTCCGGAGAGCGCACGCGGACATGCTGGCCACCGCTGTCCAGGCCCATAATTAACCCTCTTCATTAAGGGAGAAGGAAAGTTGCTAACGAAGGAAATGGATTTAATTAGCTTGGTCTCAGCCCAGACACCAGTGCGCGCCGCTCACACTCACGAAACAATTAAGCCTTTTTTATCCTGGCTAATGGCTTTAGTGACTCAGAGCCTTTCTCATTAAGACTATCAATAATATGCTGATTACACGCATCCGCCGCTCGGCTTTTATCGGGGGGGGGGGCGGAGGGGCCCAAAGGGACGAGCGCGTTCCCCCCCCCCACCCTCTGAGTGACGCTTTCCTCCGAAATAGACGTTTGGATCGCTTTCGGCTGCAGACGGCAGACAGGGCTCGGTTGGATTCTTCCTGTGGCTCCGCTCACCGAGGAGGGGCCCCACGTGGTTCTCACGGGGGAGGGGGCTGAGGGGGCTCCTCTGGAGTCGTACCCCTGAGCGCTTTATGGCGGCCTTGATCACAGACTGAGGCGGGGGCCCAGACACGGGCACCTGATGGAGACCGACAGGCGTCTGTCACCCGGGCAGGAAGACAGAGGGCCTGTGCGTTGACCTTCACTCTCTTCCTGTTATAACAGGCGGAAGGGGGAGGGGGGGGGGCTGCACCTCCTCCCACAGGAGGGGAGAGGAAAGCGGGGTGGCTTGACCTGGGCTGCCACACCTTCACACCCACCCACACCCACTCTGCGCTGCATCCCCAAACATCCTTGACGGGGGGCTGCCACGCTCCCTCTGATCTCGATGCTATTGTGTGGGTTGTTTTGCAGGCAAAGTTCTGAAGGTCCCATGTGGCCACCTACGGAGCTGAAGGAAAAACCTTTGTTCGGTTCCTAGCCTCCTTTGCTGCGATCTGCCGTGTGGGTCAGGCTGGCAAATAAGTAAAAGTTCAATATTCCCTTTTAATTCAACATACAAGCATGTTGTGATTTGTAATTGTAATTGTCTTATCAAAAGTTGTTTCTTTTATTTGTTTCAATGCATAATGATGGAACTCAAGTCAATGCATTAAACCTTGATTTTGATTACGTACTTACTTTTTAGCTTTTGTAGGCATCTCAAATGGAGTTTGCTCCCCAAAAATACAGCATTTGAGCCTCGAGTTGAGGTTATTTTTTTCTTATGATTTGGATTATCATTCTATTATGATTAATAGAACATCTGCAACACTGCACGAACAGTTCAGTCTTCGCAATAGTAGTCTGACAAAAAAATATATAAAATGAGGGTAAATCAGGGATATTCTCTGAAGGTTCCTTTAATATTGTGATACTGATTCATGGCGCATAGTCCGGCTCTGCAGGCGTACAATAAACCGTGCAAAGTGCTAAACATCGGGCCAACCTGTGAGCTGATGTGTTAGAAACGACAAAAAGAATGTGATCCGTGAAAACGCCTGTAACCCATTGATTTGTTTTAATATGCAGTGTAGTAGACCTTGCCCTTAGTGCATTAACATCTTCCGATGTCAATGTTCCACCTCGGGACGACCTTTCACAGCTCCAGATTACAAATCAGAAAGGGCTCAGAAAGGATTACTTCGCTGAAACCTTTTTCTTAAAGTTGCAGGTCCCCTCTCGTCCAGTAAAAGATGTGCCACATGAGCCAGATCCCAAAATGAAAATATTTTTTGTTTCTCATAGGCCTAGCTGTGTGTCCCCCCCCCCCCCCCCCCCCCTCATCAGCTGCAGAAACTCTTCCGGCCCGTGCGAGATAAATAAATCTGCACCAGGGAAGTTAACGCGGACGTGACTTACCGCAGAACAGATGTCTCTTCTGAAATAACACCAGATCCATTCAACACCTTCCCTTTAACCTCCAGGATGGTAACCACAACAAAAGGCTCCCCCCTTCCGTCCATGTCCCGCTTTAGATGTGGGTGTGTTTTCTTTTTTTTTTTGGTACACAATGGATGAAAATATTCTGGCCTTCGTGTTTGATGTTGACGTTTTCTTCTTTTTTTTACCCCCCAATGCCGAACAAAGCCCTCAGGTGCACGACGAGGGACAAAGGGACAGGGACGAGACGGAGACGCTCACACCTCCTATTTACGTTTTTTTTCCAGCTCACACACTCGTCCTGTGGACCACGACCTTTAATCCTCATTGGCACGCCGGAAAAGTGAGATGAACACGCGGCACGCAAACAAGCGCGCCACAGCTATCAACCTGAATAAATAAATCCCTACCCCTTTCTTATCTCACAACACAAAACTGGGTAAGCGTTCCCACCGGGCTCTGGATGGAGGAAGCTGTCAGCACCTCTGTTTTGCTTTTTTGCCTTTATGCGGAGGCTGGAATCCTGTTTTTCTCTCCAGATCCATCCTCCTGGTTTTTCGAATCCCCGGGAGAGTCGTTTCCCTCCCCGTGTGCGTGAGACGTACGCGGAACTGCCACGCCGGCCATACGTGATCCCGCTTTCCTGCTTATCTTTCAGCGCTGGGCCTGTCTTTCACCGAGGGAGGGAGCGGGAGGGTTGACAGGGGGGGAGTCGGAGGGAGGATAAAGCCGCCACGGCTACAGAACATTTCCAGGTTGGGCTGGAAAGAAGAGAGGATTTTCCAGGTGGCCTCTGAAAGGCGTTTGCGACATGCATCCGCCCGCTGCTCGTCTCCACGCTGAGGCCTCCCCCGATGTCCCGCGTCTTTCTGACACCCGTGGCCGCTGGGGTCTTATCCCAGGCCCAAAGTCAGGCTTCACACATAAATAAGATTCCGCATACATGACTCATAAATAATAGAATAAATGTACGCAGCTCTGTTGGATAGTGAGTGTTCTTCCGATGACGTGATCTGTACTCGGTTGGAGCTCAAGAATAATCACTGTTGGCCTTCGCAAAAGTCATTTTTTTCCATTCGCCTGGAAAACAAAAGAGGCTTGAAAAAAAAGGAGCTTTTCTCAGACCTTATGCTCTTCGGCTTTCTCACGGAGCAACACCGCCACCTGCAGCGGTTTGAAGCCAACAAAAGGGTGGGGAGTTGGGGGGGGCGCGCACGCCAGGCGTGCTCAATCAATCGCAGATTTGTACCACCATCATTGTGTAGAGCCGGTGTATCCATTACTGTGCCTGTGCGTCATCACAGTGACTGTGCAGGGTGGAAGCCATTCCCATGGCCACATCTGCCCTCCTGGGCTTCTCTTGGGTGGGACCCTTATTAAAATGGAAGGGGCGCGTTTGGTTAGGGAGGGCTTGCGTCTATGTCTATGTTTTGTGCTCAGACCTCGGAGGCTCCCACGAGGCAGAAGTTGATAAAAAATGTCGACAGAGGCCTTGAAAGCTGAGATCACAGGACATCCTCTCAAATCTCAGCTGCGATCTTCTGTGGCTTTAGTAATAATAAGTTCATTTTAATGAGGGAAGTTGCTTAGTTGCATTATGGGAATTGTTGGGGTCCAGTGTTTTTAGATCCCACGGCAGAGACTAAGGGTTTTGACTTTTCTTTGCTGGATCCTGTTAGAGAGGCCCAAATGTTATGGAGGTACAAATCATAAATCACTGGAGGGCCTCTCGATTGCTCTCTGACCATAAAGACTGGATGTTGGAATGTAAAGATGAGATAAAACTG